TTATTTATTTATTTATTTATTTTGTTTTATTTGTTTATTTATTGTCCGTCAGGTTTAATTGAGCTGCGTACGGGAAGTTCGCCACTGTAACTTGATATAGTGGCTGGAGACATTGACCGTCTCCGAAAAACAGTTAGTGAAAAACTTACGGACCATGAAACTGTCACTAGGAAATTGCTGAGACTACAAGGCAACCCATTCCTTGCGCCTCCAAAGTAAACCTCCAGTAGATGATACAGTTACCTGCCATAAGGCACCTGTTAAATGACACAAATCCAGTGGTGAAACACTTCGCAACAAGCGCGGTTTCGGTTGTCATTAGAATGGTTTAGTTAGATGTCGGGTTTTTAAAGGGACATAGGAACGATCTACGTCCAGCATCCGCGATCCAACTAGGTTCCAGACCCGATTATCATGGTGTTTCACGATGTTTCGTGGATGATTGAACCAGCGGATGGGAAAACATGTGTAAGTAGAAATAAGGAAGACAAATTTGTGGGATATAATATGCTTAGTCAGGGGTTAGATATCAGCTGAATAAGAGCTGCTCTGGAACTGCAGCATGTATGAAGGTTGAACAGTTGGCAGACTGAGAACGTGCGGTTTAAAAACGAGGAAGCAGTTAGCTCTCGCTATTATTTCAAATTGTCCTCGACAAGACTAAAGCAAACTGTCAGAGCAATCTTGAACACCTTGGTATTGTATCCCACATTCAATAAATAATCAGTTGTAATGAATCAGTGAAAGGTTATCCTGATTCTCGATGACGATGTAGTACATTGTCATGTCGAAACGTGCCACCCAGAGAAGGAGATTCTATCTCCTAGAAAATTCTTCACATACAGTCGTTCAGTACAGGGTTATTACAGGTAGTAAAGATGGATTAAATGAAGAGCTATCAAATGAGCCTCGCAATTTCTTCAGAACACTCAGATGTCGATTTGATATCATTTGGCAGCTATTCTTGGTACGCTTCTCGGTATCATTCTTGAGAGGACTTACAATGGACACAATGCCGTTGTGAACGAAAATGGAAGGCATTTTTTCAGAGGACTGGCTGAGTTTAACGTAAAATCTGCTAAGCAACTCAAAATAAGCCACTCTTGTTGAATCACAGCACGTAAACAGTGTGGTAAACGGCAAACGGTCACCTTTAACACGATTATTGAATCAGTGGGAAGACTATCTCATTGAGTAATGCAGCTGAGTTTGGTAGTGTTGGACCGTATGAAAAGTCCAATATAATCGATTCTTTCGATGGAATTAAAAACAGTTATGTGCTGCAATCTGCGGGACCTCTAAAGTATTCTTGATCGCCCTTTCATTGATTAGATCACTCTGCTAGTCTCCTCTTCAACTGAGTTGGAGCTTTGCGTGTAACGAGATATGTCCTGAAAAGCTGTTCACTGTGAAAAAGAGACATACTATTAGTTTGTTAACACATGGGGCTATTTGAGGAGGGGGTGTTAACATCTTTGGTTTGAAGTTGAGACAAATGTATTGATCATTTTTTTCGTCAAAGATTTTCTCACGGCTGTCTGATCCAGTGTCTTCTTTTCAGTGGCGCAACTGACGGTATGATGGAATCTGAATGCCTTTAAATTGGTAACAAGATCAGCTAAGAGTGAATGCTAACGGACACCCTATGCATCAACATCTGACAAGCGGTGACTGCGGTTTTCAAAAATCGAAAAGCAGTCGAAGGTTGATCAGCATTTTTTCCTAGTTCGAAGTAAAATAGGTGTGACTGATTTGCTAGTCACGTCTCATTCCGATTATTGTCTTAGAATTTTCTAATCAACCGTGGATAAAACGGAAAGGCCGACGGCTGAAAATTTAAACGAATAGGCCTTTTCGTGATGATGAAACGCTCGCATAATTTACAAGATAACCCTCATAATGAGACCTTCTCAGATTTCAAAGGATGGCGAGATAGACTAGTGAAAAAACCGCTGCTCTCAGTGTGAACACCCTGCTCAAAAAGTCGATGAATTTGAAGACTGATGTCGATGGAGTAGATGTTTACGGAACCGATGGTATTGATCGAATCATACGTTCTACTTGCTGAAAATTATCTACTTTTCACCGTCTTGAGTGAGGAACTTTGAAGAATAATTCAGCTGTCTTCCTTAACGGAACTAATGGAAAAAACATGCGAATATTTCCCAATCAGGCAGATAGCTTGTCAGCTCTAGTCGAAGATAAATCGTCAGGTACATTCAAATTCCTTCAGAAGAATAAACGACTCGACCTAGCCGGTCTTTCTTCTGCTCTGATAAATGTTAGAGGAGAAAGGTTTGTTCACCGCCTGTAACGACACACACAAAGCATTTGAAAGGTATTTTCCACTATGGACTAAATCCCAAGGCACTAACCACAGGGACTTCATTTTCATTCGCAATGGATGCAAGCCATTCTGCCATCCTGCACAAACCAAATAGCACTTTTGAGAAGCGATGTCGTGAAAACCAAACAGGTGTCTGTTCAGATAGCGGATACACCGACGGTATATTTTACTTTCCAGACAACCCACAGTAGCACACACAGAAGACTATTAACGATCGTCTTCTTACATTTCAGCAGCTGGATTTGACTCAATGGACCATACTGATGTGTTAAAACCCTCCACCGAAAGCCCACCGTTCTTTCATCTATTCATCCATTCATTTTACTCAAGCAGTCGTGGGCGTATGGTGAATAACCTCTGGATTTCAGCACCTCAGTTACCTTTGTCGTCAGGGTTCATCGTCAAACCGATGAGTGCTAAAATCTTAGCTTAGAAATTCTTCCAAAAAAACTCATTAGCTTAGAGTATGCTAGCGACATCACACTTGTGGGACCAGAGTCTGCTGTGCGTTTCGAAATGGGCTATGCATCTTCAAGTAGTAGAGTCACTTTTCATTTCTGACCTGGTTCGGTTTAACACCAAACCATTGCATGGCGTCCCAGGATCTAGAGCTGGTTGGAAACTAACTAAACTTAACTCTGTGAGTAGATTCTGGGATTTACAAAGCTCGATTGACATTTATACAACTTGTGAACCTTTGGGGACTTCCTGGCAGTGGTTTACTGGCAGACAACAAAGCTAACAACGCCTGGGGTTTCCAACAGTGCTTCATGACTGTGAAGCTTGGCCATTGTGCTTTTAGGACAGAATAGAACCGATTTCATCTAATCTGGATGCTTTCGAGGCAACTCACATTTATCTCTAAAGTGGCTTAAAGTAACAAATCTGAGACGGCCAGACTTGATCGGTCTTGTTCTTTGTACACCAGATTATCAGTTGTTTCGCCATCCCCTGTTTCCTAAACCTTGCTTTTACCGAAATATGAAGCAGAATGAACATCTCACGACGTGGGCATAAAAATCTTAAAATCAGACCTTGTATGTGTTGATTCAAAACACACATGGGGTTGGCATGCCAGCTCATCAGTGGTTAGACATCGTCACTAATATGGCACAGCCTTATGGCCATCAACGCTGTTGAATCAGCTCGTTCATCCACAAACTTTGATTCACTGTTTCCTCACTTTATCAAGCCAAAACGACCCCCTCACTTGTTTTGCGTAACCAGTCTCGAACTTCCATGACATTCGGAACGAGTTTTCAGTTGAGTTCCCGTCTTGCCAGCTAAGCAATCCCAGACCGAAAATACGAGAAGCATGGTACAGCTGTTTTACCCTTAGTGGAAATCATTTGCAGTACGCAACTCAAGAAACTAAGACAGTTCCGGAGCTGAGACCTCCAAAATAGTGGTTTATTATCCATAATTTGGGCAACGGGCACCTGAACAGCAATGTGCTGGACTATGTCCTGTAAAAGTAGGAGCTAATTACACTACTGTTTAGCCGTATGTGGTCGAACGGTTAAGAATTCAACCACCAGCCGGAAGATCGCAGGTTCGAAACTCCCCAGAGTTTTGTGATGACTCCCAGTAACCATAATATAGCTGTGCAGTGTCACTGGCTTTTCATTATAGATTGGCTTCACTGACAGGATGAAACATCATTCTTCCGGATCTTATCCCGCTACCATCAAACATACAGGTACAACGATTCACGTGAACCACACTTTCATATAAAATAAGAATACAAGCATGGACGGCTTGCACATGGCGCTGTCTGCAGTGATTTTTGACACTCGCCCTACTTGTTCCTTGGAAGCTGTCAACAATATACAACCACACAAAAAAAAAAAAAGGACGCTAAAACCATCCAGACAAACGAAAACATTCAGAGGTAGAATGCTAGGGGTTCGATCATTTTTCACTAACATCAATGACGCATTACAATGAGGAGGAAGTTGGACAGCCGGTCAGTTAAAGTTGAAACCGGAAAACAGCTGGAATAATAGCACTAGGGTTCTGTTGCTGTAGGACGAAGAATATCGACAACATTTACTTTTAGATAAACTATTTTGCATTTCAGGTGCCCTGTAAGAGTATTTACATCTTGGTGGCATATTTCCTCCCTCAGGTTCATCCTAATGGGGCGAGAAATCCCATTTTCAACCTCACAACTTTCCACACCCATCTATACTGGTAAAATAGATCGACAACTCATCTGCTGTAGCGGATACGGCCCGAGTGAATACAATGGCATAGTGGACGTCAAGCATAGCACGATCAGATTCTGGTTGTTGTCATTCAGGCTCCTGCACTCTTGAAGCACAATTTTAGTCAACTCTGAACATCGGATCATCGGGACTACAATTATATCAGTTGACGACCGCATTCAAACCTTTAGACAGTTCAAAATTCACGCCGCTGATGTGCAGCACCCACAATAATCGCGCCATGCAGGAAAGTGAGTGCTATGAATACATAGCCACCCACAGATAACCTATGCTTCTGTTTACTGACAGTAGTAGATGCTAGACCAGTAATCAGACCTGGTGCGAACTAATGTTTATTAATGGCAAATAGCCAGGTTACACTGGTATCTAGTTCCGAAGTCTATAAGTAGGCATATAGGTACAAGTGCTGCGAGTATCAATACACTATGACTCCTATCATGTATATACTGATGAGCTTATGCATTGAGCTTATGCAGCTCAATGTGGAAAGCAGTGTTCAGGTAAGGAGCAACTTTCCCAGGTTATCCCTGAGATGTCCTCACCAGTCTCCCCTCATGTTCGCCTCCCCTGTTATTCTATTTAACCATGAGAACGCTTTAACAAATATTTCAGGAGTCGTCAGATGTACGACAGCTTTACGAAAATTTCAAGAATAAATACAACAAGTACTTTGAAAATGACGGTAATTTCCAACTTAATACTTCCAGGTTGGCCTACAAACTTTTTAGAAGATCAGCGACGGTTTGAAATATTTAAGGAAAATTTGGAACAAGCGATGATATATCAGCAAGCCGATCTAGGAACTGCCAAATATGGTGTGACTAAGTTCTTCGACCTCACAGGTAGTGACCTCCAAAATGTGACAGGTCTGTTGCAGATGAGGAGTTCGAAGCCCAATATTTAACGGCTAGATTCCCGGAGATAATTGAACCAACTGAGGAGATTCAAATGAATGGGACGGAAGAACTACCACCATACTTCGACTGGAGAGAAAAAGGCGCGGTTGGTCCTGTGGCCGACCAAGGCCGGTGTGGTTGCTGTTGGTCATACTCTGCGGTTCAGAACGTCGAAGGGCAATGGTTTCTCAGATACGGACGACTGTTCAGTCTCAGTGCACAGGCAAGTTGTGAATCTGTTTTCCGAATCCTGTTCAATAAACGCCCCAAATTTCTTTTCCAGTCGTAAATGTAACCACCTACCTAATATTGCGGTGTGTAGGATAAGTGTGGATCGCATTCTCATAACAAGCAGTTTATTGTGTTCTCCACTTTCGATCAATGAAACACATGGTTGGTCAGATTGTGTTATGTTGAAAGACAGGAAACCTCCCGCGGACGCTCATAATACTGTGTGTTGGGTGAACGCTTGTAGATGTGACAGTTGACATGGCATTCGGAACTGAAGGTCCCCTTTGACCACATGCTTATCTCTTTTGCCGGTACTCCAATAGATAACAGTTACCCATTACCTTTTTCTGTTAGAGAAAGAAATAGCAGTCCTCGTTTGTATATGCGCTTTCAAAGTCCAACGTATTTTACACTAGAATGCTTTTGAGTGACAGAGATATTTTTGTTCTGGGTTAAAAAATCTATGAAGCATTTGATAAGCCTACTTACTGTCTTGAACAATAAACCGTTCTGCATCTGAGTTACCCATCCATAGATTTTCGTGACATGATGCTGTGTCTTTGTGTTTTTTCATAATCAGGATCATGTCTTAATGGCTGGAATAGAGATCATTTCAGAGATTAGTCATTTTTAAGATCTTCCAAAGTTTAAGTTGACAGCCCTTATGATGCGGAGTAATCTGTGGAAAGATGAGTGAGTGAAGCACTTCAGAACAAGCGGAACTCTTCAAGAGATCCCCACAGTAGGTTTTACGTGGAACGACAGTCCAGATTGAATCATGCACAGTACATCTCGACTTTTCAGCACAAATCGATTTCACTTGAAGAACGAAATCTCATTTGAAAAGAAACAGGTAAAAGAGAACTCTGCCTTTTAGCTGTATGAATTTTGGTGGCTGATCGGATGGCAGTTGATCTGTTCGCCGAGTTTGGCAATTGGCTTGCAAACGTTTCGTCCCCACTCGAGGAGACATCGTCTGTGCGCAGTTGAATGGGTGCTTCCTCCGTGTCTAGCTGCGTTTATGTAGTTTTTTGTAGAGTATTCAATATCCCGTCATGTGAGTGGCCAGTTGGTATATGCCTTCTCTTGCATCGCGGTAGGATAGATCGTGATTTTGTTTTGCTGGGTTATGGTCAGTGTGTCTCTTATTCCACTGGTTTGTAGTATGAATTTTGTATCACGGGACAATTCCTATTTCTACGAAATGACACTATACAACTCGGTGGAATTACTGGTCTATTTGTGGACAATTGCAGGAATAGTGTAGTTCACATTCACACGACGCTTGCATGAACACTCATTCTTGCGCTCTGATGTAATTATTCAGGTAGCTCATAAACAAGGCGGACAGCGATGGACTCAATTCCAGTCTCACAGCTGTAAGAATCAAACAATTTTCATTTTCTCTGTTAACTGGAAAAATTAACATCATGTGTAGTTTATTTTGGCCGCTGACTATTTGCGTTTCGCAATATCATTTCTAAACACTGGACTGTTGGTCGGTGGAATAATGGAGTATCAAACTCGAGCGCAAATATTTCCCTCATATCTTTGAATACACAGGGAAGAACTTTAGGTTTTTCTATTGACATCATCTGGAAGTAGCGCCTTCTTTCTGCGACTGGCGGTTCACATTTGCCAATGCACCAATTCCTCTAATCTTCCAAAGATCAAGGGTGCATCCAAACCCTTAATTTATCTTTCTTCATGCAATTAGCAACTGATTGACTGCGACGACGTAGACCGTGGTTGCGATGGTGGCTTCCCAATTGATGCGTATATGGCTGTACAACGCCTCGGTGGATTGCAACTGTCCATTGACTATCCTTATGTTGCCAGTCAGCAAGCCTGCAAATTCAACCCTAAGCAAGCCGTAGCATTTGTGAATGGGTTTGCTGCGCTGCCGAGAAACGAACAACTAATTGCAGAATACTTACACAGAAACGGTCCACTCAGTCTCGGATTAAACGCGCACACGCTTAAGGTGAGTGTGTATTTTGTTAATCCTTTTTGCAATCTCAGACAACTCAATCCCATTTAATGCTCAAGTATTTCTGTTTACCATCCGCCCGTCCGGAGACTTCGTTCCAGAATTGCTTTTCTATACTTAGAAGTCAAAATCGTCCCCGAGCTACGACTCTTTGGCCGTCCAATCTGCAGCCGGGCTAGTCACAGGCATTGAGTTGTAATCACACTCTGCCACGCATAATGCAATATAGAAATGAAAGTCAGGTTTCGAACTCAAATTTGCAAATTTGTCCCCACACACAGATGGTGGATGCTAGGTCAATACAGGTATCTAAAATTCAAAGTAGCTTCTGTGGAAGTGAACAGAAAGTCCGGTTCTCCAACTTTTCACTTGGCAGCACTCTCGCAATCCTCATCTTAAGTAATATACGAATTGTTATAAAAAGTTCCTCGTCCATCAAACGCCGTCGTACTGTCAGTCATCGACTGTATCAACGATAGTACATTTTTTGACAACATCAGTCATGAGAAGGGATAGTGAAAAACAAAACGGCCTGGTCTTTCAGGTAGTAGGGAGTAGTAGAGAGAAAATCTCAACGTTGGAAATATCTCGAATGCATGTCTTATAAAAAACTTTGAAACACAAAGCGCTGCATTTACATGAAGAGAAGTTTGTCGGTTTGCAGCAGAGATTAAAACTTTTTCCGGGTGAGCAAAGATATGACAAGTATGCTGAAGTAGCTAAATACACTCACTTGCAAACTGATTTGGTTTTGCGCGAGACTAATTTACAACTCAAATGAATCTGTCTCGTGGGCTGTCGAAGCGTTTACAACAACCTTGTGAGTAGTGCATTACGTCTATATATCTATGCTGAGTGTTTTAAAAACGTTTGTTATTGAACAAAACTGGGCTCGATCCATGAATCTATGAAGCTCTCGGTTCTCGTTAACAGCATACCACTTATATAACCGAATATTGCTTGGATTTCCGAAACTTCCAGTAAACAGGGATACAGTTTCATTGTCAATAATGTTTCACATCGCTAAGGTCATACAACGAAATTCCGCACACCGTTCTCTTTCTATCACTCAACTCAGTTTTACAACTCCGGGATCCTTAATCTAACGGCGGATCAGTGCAATCCAGATGCCTTGAACCACGCTGCTCTATCAGTGGGTTTTGGAATTGATGAAAACACTCCATTCTGGATTGTCAAAAACACGTTTGGTGAGGATTGGGGTGAACGGGTAAGATTTATGGCATAGCATTTTAACCGCTAGACTTTGGCCTTCACTGAACGACAATGATCAATCATTAATTTGCTTTGGTGGACAGAGGTTTAGAAGAACTTGATGAGAAAGGTACCCCACCTGGTAATGAGGTAACACCCGTTACCGTCACCGAGCTGCGATGGTGTACATTCGCGCATAGTAGTTCAACCCACATTTATGTTTGAAAACATCGTCTACATTGCGAACCCGAAGAAACAGAATCATGAAGTGACCATAGGGTGACGGTGCTAAAGCTATCTTCATACCCAAATGGTCGCTCCCAACCAGCGAATCATGTGGGAGAAGCTAAATTGCTGAATCTAACAGAGTAGGTACAGGGTAACCTGCTGACCCCATTATGCATGAAGTGCAGACATTTGCGGGCACGCTGATTGGACACACAAAAACACAGTTTGCTAGAGTTCACCTCAATAGAATGCTGTATGTGTATAGCGCAGGTAGAATACCAATGAAAATTTAGAGAATAGCGGATCTTAAAATGGTATCTTGGTATGTCATGCAACATATATGTACCATAGGCATGATGAATACAGTTCTAATAAACTGGTCGTGGAGTACCCAGTGGTCGGCTAGGTGTTATGTGTGGGTTTGCACACCAACTCGATGCTATTGGACACCGATCATATCATTTGGAATGATGACGAAACGCCTACAGCCGAAGTCCCTAGCTCAGCGAACAGAGCAACAACCAGACATCTATACAATCTGAGCTACAGAAGTTTCCCCCAGTGGCATGTAAAGTGGGTGTGTCTAAACTCGCAAAAACAAGATATACACTTATGTGTCAGCAGAAATCATCCCAGACAGCGAATCCTGATCGAGAAGTCTCTTCCTTGGAGATGATCGGTTGGCGAGAATCAAACTCAGTGTTCAGCAGACTTAATCTGGAATCTGATTTCAGGTCGAACAAAACTCAGGTGTTCGCCAAACATGCTTTGGCATAAGAGGGAGATTCGTTCTCGGTTTAGCCACAAAACGCACGTTAAACAATTAAGATGAGTACCGTATCAATTCTACCAAAAATCTCCATGATTTGTGACCCGATAAGTGCAGATTCTAAGTCAGTTTCTTATCAGCCGGTTCAAGCTAGAAAACACAACTCCAGCGCTCGTCAAGAAATATACTTTGGCCGTTCACCACAGGGTATACACAGGAAAAGGAACTGCAAGCTATAGAGGTAGTCCAAAAACATTTTGGCTTGCTTTATTTGGACACTTCACAGAAGGCCTTTTGTGTCCTTCTCAAGAGCACACTGGAACAATAATCTATCAAATAATTCCACTGATCGTACAGACACGGCCTACCACGCACTTTCTGTTGGCATAGCCCGAAACGTGTGCAAGATCCTTATGTCCAGAACATATTCAGTCTAGCGTGAAAAGATGGCAAGTTATCTTTACTGTAATTTCCAGACATCCAGGTGTCCGTTGTATAAACATGCAAGTCACTTTCATGCTCATCATGGTACTTTTGATGAACAGTGTGTGTTGGGTATGTGATACTACCAAACAGTGCATGACCTTATAAAACCTAATGCTAGATACCACTACTTTGCAGGATGTCCGGAATAGTTCTGGAGCTGGTCACCTAAAGTCACTTCCAGGTCTCCTAATTTCAATATAACATAAAACTGCATACCGTTTGGTTGCCCAGTTAGGACTAAAATTAACTTAGTGTGAAAGATGTAACCATGGTAATTCCGTTTTCTCGTGTTGTGTCGGCAAGTTTTGTGGCACTGCGAAATTGCCCTTGATTGGTCAATCCGGTAGTGGCATAGGACAGTGAGCAGCTGATAGACAGTCGACATCTCAACCGAACGCAGAATAGGTATGAAACTGGGTACTTAACAGTTCTCCATCCACTAGTGAGGTAGCTCCTAACCCAGTTAAATGAAGGGATAATTATCAGTTATACAAAGTTTGCAAAAAGTAGCATCTCTGTAGCAAGGAAGGTGCACTAGTGATCATTACAACTTAGGATTAACGAGGCTTGTGCGTGCGTTCCCTAGGTTGTTCGTAATCTGTAAAGACTCACAGAACCGATTCACTTCAGCCTTCTTAACAAGCTAGTATCCGCCGAAAGGAGTTGTGTACAAGGGACAGGCTGGAAGTATTGTCTACTGAAAGATGGCTTCTTCTGAGTGCGATCTGTTCAAAGATGAACCAAAATCATGCAACCAGCAAACTAAGAATATAATTCAACCAACTGGGTTCTTGATCAAGCTAACTTGAGAACGATGGATATCGGACACCCAAGACCAGAAGATTGATTGAGTGCTGCTCTTGAGAGTTGTCGTTCTTGAGTTGCCGTCTATTAAACGCAAAATTCAAACCCAAAGGTACGAACAATTCAATTCGAATTCACCCAGACCTTTTGTGTGATATTGCTCTATCTCTTCAGAGTGGCATATTAGCTTTGGAGTTGATGATTAGAGAATGGACCACGTTTCATTATTGTAGGCAAACATTTCTATTCTCCCCTGTCATCAGGGTTACTTCCGAATCTTTCGTGGGGCTGATACCTGTGGAATCAGTCGTGTGGTCAGTTCGTCGAAAGTTGTTTGAGAAGCTCCTCCCGTGGCCCAGCACATAGTGATTCACAATTCAACCTTTTCTGAAGAAGAAGAAGACAAAAAATAACAATTTGCTTGGTATTAACTGATCTTTTCCCCACTTCTGCCGTTCTAAAGTATTTCGTAACATCAAATTAATTTATTCTTTCTGTCTTCGTATGTGAGTAGGGTTTTATCCTGAAGCACCCGGTAGAGGTTACGTGGCTGTTAGAAGGCCTAACTAAGTCTTCCGTTTATGTTTGTCATTTCCGACCCACTAAGGCAGGCTTAGACAGACTTTTAATGCCGCTACTCTTCCTAATGGCCAATTCACCAGTGGCTGGCAATAGATCAATAAATTAGAAATTTTCTTGGAGATTTCGTCCTGTAAGTGGGACCAATCTATGCTGAATAGCCTAGAAGCACTGTACATCTTTTACATCCATATTAGGGATCATCAGCAGTGCGTGTCGCTGGAAAGTCTCGAACCTGCGACCTCCCGGCTAGCATTTCGAACACTTGACCGTTCGGCCAAGATCGGCTGATCACCCGTGTGATTAACTAGCACTTAGACTGGATATAGCGCCGTTCGTCCTTCAATCATGGGATCCACATCACGTGGTCGCATTTGTTGACCGGCTCCTCAAGTAACGACTCCAGCAGATTCAGCAGGTTTCAAAAATCCGTGGCGCTCTCTGACTGGGAAGGCCTGACATAACCTGGACAGGTACTGGATGGTCGTTCTAAGGGCACTGCCATCACTCAAACGTGAACACTTCAACCTGTTTAGACGTGATAATTCAGTTACTTCCAGCTCGTATCAGATGTACGGAGTTCAAACCCCGGCACGGTCAAGAACATGCACTACTGAAGAACCCTAAAGAGAGCGAAACTCGACTCCGAAGCTCCTCTTTTTTGGTGTAGATTAAACAGAGTAATTGCACCAGGATAGGAGGACAACTGTTTGAACCACAATGACGTAACATTATGGCTTAGACGTGTGGTGAGATAATGCGCCACTGCTCTCCGTAAACAGCTTTTGAATGACTGCATAACAAGGAGTATTGGAAGGACAACAGTCACGACGACCGTCTTTGGCCCAGCTGGAGATTTAATTGAATAAGATACTAGCCAACGAACAATGTCTTTTCATATTTCTGAATGGCACTGAGTGGCATAAGGGGTTTGGTTTCCAATGTGACTTTGGTCATTCCCGCTTATTAACAATGGTGCCTGTGATCAAAATTCAGTATATACAGTCTTTTAGTAACTGATCATTTGCGCTTATTTCATGTTGAAGTGCCCTCATGAGCCAAAACGATACTACAGACGAAAATCGTCATTGACGTTTGGGCTAAAAACATTCTTTCGTGTGATTTACCTTGAGCAGTTGTAAAATGGCTGGTGTACTACCGGTCTTGTATGTCAAAAGCATGCTGTGTTATACTTTAGGGGTTAAGGAAAGCTTCCTGACGGATAGGGGTCAGATGTAGGTGGTTTTTTGGTCCCTTAATCTGGGGAACATATATATATATATACAAACGTCAGAATTCTCTAGTTTGGTGACCTGTGCTTGCTTTCGTTTGGACCATTCGGGATAAACGACTTGATTGAGACCTTTCCTTGTTCTTTTTTACGTACTTTGACCGGCGATGGTACCTCTACTGCCACCCAGTTGTTCATCAGACAGCAGGGTAAATTGAAGTGATACCGGACATGTGGCATGTGATGACATCTGCTACGACAGACTAATCGCTGCATCCAGTGAGCAAATAGAATGAAATTTTTGATATTTTTCTACTAGTGAAAGGAAGAAGGCCTGCGCTGCGGAGTTGCCTATTAGGGAATTACCAACTGAACAGTTACAGACTATTAGATAGACGAGCGAAACTCTCATATGCACCTTGTTTACAAAACCGAATATCCATCTTCTCCTTGAACAAATCTTCCTGAACTTTCCTGGAAATTCGTTGGCTGTCACTCAAATGCAAGCAAATGCTACAAAGCGACTCCACAAATTCCGTAACAGATCTCACTTTTCAAGAGACAAAAAGGGGATTTACGAGAAGACACTACTCGCACGCCTAATCAGTAGTATCCACCGTTATACTAGTATCCAGTAGATCCACACCCACTCCGCCTAATAATCACTTTCCGTACGTCGGTGGATCATCGCAAACTCAGCGTAGTAAGATTACAACGATAAGTCGACCAGAGTTTTCAGATGAGAAATAAACCATGGACTTTACCTTTCAAAAGGACTGGTGAGCACTGTTAAATGTTTGGCTTACCCCTCCCACTGGATATAATTTGCATCCACTAAAATCCAAACTTTATCGGTGGCCTTCGCCGTTCGAAGATATCTGTTTCTAGCTTATAGCCATCCTGGATAGTATCCATTTCT